GTCACCGAGAACTCAGGAACGGAATGAGTATCAGAAGAAACCATTTCACAAGCCTCTTAATACTTGCATGTATTGTGGCAAAAATCACAAATCAGGAGAATGCGACAAGTACAAATCTCCACAAGAGAGATCTAACTATCTTCGGGAAAGGAAACTTTGCCTGATTTGTGCTTCACCTCGTCATGCGACGGCTCTATGTAGGAAACCTCCCTGTTTCAAGTGCAAGAAGCCGCATCACACCTCCTGCTGCTTCCAGTTTGAGCAAAGGCAACAAGTAGGGACAGAAGTTAAGAAGGATGGTAATCAGAATGGACGAGGTACTGTAAGGGCAAGACAAGGTCACAAGGCTGATAAAGGCACAGTGAAGGTCAACAACATAGGCCAAGAGGGTACGTCGGAAGAAGAAACAACCATCCTGGAATTACATTCAGAAAAAATCTCCGTTCAGGCACATAACACCTTTTTGCCCACGGGACAAGCAACAGTTCTTGACCCGAGCACTAAGGTCATGAGAAGGATTACGGTACTGTTGGACACAGGAGCACAAGTCTCGTTCATAGATGCCTCGTTGGCCGAAGAACTTCAGCTTCCTACGATGGCACAAGTAAGGCTGAAGATACGCACTTTCGGCACCAAAGAAGTCCGAGAAAAAGTGTGCCGTCGAGTGAAGCTTAACGTCTGGGACATCGAAGGTAAACCTCTCTCTTTGAACCTACTTACGTACGATGTTTTAACGAGTTCATTCGCTGCTCCTCCAATAAGAGAAGAAGACATCAATTTCGTTCACGCGCTAAGCCTTCCTATACTTCGCCTCGATCAGAAATCCGTTACAAAACCACTTATATTACTCGGTTGCGACCAACTGTGGCCTTTGATCCATAACGATCAACCTCATTTGGAATTGCCTTCGGGGCTACACCTTTTACCGACCAGGCTTGGCCACCTCTTAACCGGCCAGCTTCAGGACGGCCAAAACAAGACGAAGATTACTGGAGCATGGAAGAACACCAAATTAACACGCTCACTCAGCCGTGTGAAGCAACCCAGGAGAACGAACTGTGGGAAAAATACTGGGAGTTAGAAAAAGCAGGAGCTGAAGAATTTGTGGGCTCTGAAAGACAAATCCAGGCTCAAGAAGATCAACAAGTCTGGGAAACGTTCAACCGGACTATAGAAAAGAGAACTGATGGATATTATGTTCGCCTCCCATGGAAAAATGTATCAGCCACACTCCCGAGCAATAGAGTTATTGCCTTTCGCAGGTTGGTGAGCTTGTGGAACTCACTGCAACAGGATACCGACCTTTTGAAAAGGTACAATGAAACATTTCAAGAGCAACTTGACCTCAACATCCTTGAGGATGTTCAGGAGGATGCATCTCCAAGTGGTCCAAGGGTACATTACATACCGCACCAAGCAGTTCTGACCCCGCACAAGACGACCACGAAATTACGCATCGTATATGATGCCTCAGCACACCACAAAGGATGCCCCTCCTTGAATGACGTTTTACATCGAGGACCAGTAATTCTGCCAGAACTCTATGGAATTTTGCTACGTTTTCGTATAGGGCGGATTGGAATTATTTCGGACGTAGAAAAGGCATTTCTACAAGTGAGACTTCACGAAGCAGATCGCGACGCCACGCGCTGTCTTTGGCTACAAGATTACAAGTTGCCCCCATCTCCTAAGAACATCCGGGTTCTTCGATTCACAAGAGTTACTTTCGGAATTAATTCCTCTCCATTCCTTCTTGCAGGAACAACCCATTACCATTTGAACCAGTACGAAAAGGATGCCAAACTTGTTGCGGACATCAAAGGAAACCTGTATGTTGACAACTTGGTTCTAAGTGTGGACACCTTTGAGGAGGCCTTGGATAGTTATTCGAAAACGAAAACAATTTTCAATGATCTAAATATGAACATCCGCGAATTCGTCTCTAACGATACCAAACTGAGAGATCACATGGCGGAAAAAGACAAGTCCGTGAACACCTGCCCCAAGGTTCTAGGGATTTTATGGTTATCCGTGGCAGATACATTGGAAATTTCCTGCCATCCCCGAGAAACGGAGAAGGTTACCAAACGTGCAGTGGCAAGTGCTCTAGCGTCAGTGTATGACCCCCTCGGCTGGCTCGTTCCATTGCTGCATCGAAGCAAGATCTTCCTTCGGACTCTTTGGAAGGATCAGTACGACTGGGATACTGTACTTCCACAGAGGCTTGAAAACGAGTGGCGTCAAATATGTAAGGATATAGAAGGTTTCAAAAAAGCCATTCCTAGATTCCTTGCAGAAAGACAATCGGAAGCGATACTAGTGACCTTTGCCGATGCTAGTACTGAAGCCATGGCAAGTTGTGTCTATTTACGGTCAGCTGATAACTGCCACATTCTCATGGCAAAGAGCAAATTACCATCTCTCAAGGCACAACCAACGATCCCAAAAATGGAACTAGATGCCATGACCTTAGCCATGAGACTGACTAATTCAGTGTTGTCTCAACTGCGAACAGTGCTAAAAATCCAACAAGTATGCATTCTAACAGATTCGGAGATTGTGCTTAGCTGGATAAAGTCACGACCATTGCAAAAAGTGAGCGTTATGATCTTCAACAGGCTCAATGAGATCGAGAAGATAACAAGTCACCTGGAAAGTTTGGGAGTTCAAGTTTGTTTCGGCCATATACCATCTCACTTCAACGCAGCAGATTGTGCAACTAGAGGAAATCAATATGCGAAACCATCAGTTAGACCACTAGAACCACTCGAAGGACATCAAGAGAGATATGCGAAACCATCAGTTTCACAGTGGAATGCAACCAAGAAGGAAAGACTTCGTCATTACGCTTTAGCTTCGACACCGCAAGAATTCATCAGAAATGCAGAGCATCATGTGGGCAATCCGTGACCATTTTTGAAATCGGTGGACTATTAAAGTACCCTCACACGGCTTCCAATATGGTTGATAGATGGTTGAGAGGGGAAACAAGTAGCGAACCTGTTGGATTTCATTGGCCCGATTTTCCACATATCCTTGATGTATTCCTCATGTGGTATAAGACTCTGTTATCAGCAGTCTTGGCGCTATTGGTACTGCTCGTGCTTACTTATATTCTGATATCCGCATATGGAATACGAGTCACGAAATGGATCTTGAAAACTGTTTTCCGCATCTTGACTTTACCGGTGCTATTGTTTTTTCGTGGGGCCTCACATCTTCTGCACCAACAAGTTCGGAAAAGGCATGAGAAAAGATGGTGAAAAACAAGTAGCACATGTTAGATTAGATAGAAAAGGCGCTTGTAGCTTATGGTTAGTCATAGATTCAAAAAACCTTCATTTCAGAATGGACCCACGAAGTATGGACAGCGATTTCTTCTACATTTACAAGTATCTCCAAGGACAGTCAGTCAGTGGCTTCGAAAACGACCTAACCTTGACGATAGAAGCTATTCATCGACAAGTTTTTGTCTTTGGAACTCTGAGAAACGACTGGGAGCACCTGAAGAGCAACGAAAATTTCGTTTTGGGGGGACCAGGAGAACAAGTCCTCCTAATCATCGAGAATTCTGCAAACGAAGCGTGCGAAGGTTGAACTACTTTCAGTCGGACCACAACAAAAACACGGTCATGTACTTCGAAGATCTGAAGAAAATGTGGTCGCAATAGCGAAGTTCACTACCAGTTGAGCTAAACAGCGAGAGGTTATCCGTTAGCGGAGAATACAATCAATACATATGCATGCCATTGGAGGCTCATGATGTCAGATCGAAGCCGTTTATCGAAGTACGAAGCAAGCTCTGAAGAAAGTCAAAATGAATGAGGGTCTGCTGCAATCCAGTTTTGGACCTGAGTTACAATCAACTAAAACCATGCGTATTCTTTCCTGAATCGGCTGATATGGGTATTTTTAACTATTGATTGATGTAATGATTTTTTTTGTTTCCAAATGTAAATAAATGTTGTGACTGAAAGAAGAGGTTCTACATGTGCTAAGCTTTGTTGCTTGTTCGGAATAGTATAGTATAATAGAACTTGCTTGTTCGGAATAGTAATCATTGACAATAGTGGACGATAGGGAGTGGATGCGGCGGTTGAAGACGGAGAATTTTTATTTGCGCAGTGACGTCACCAAAACCGCTCCGCCTCTCAAGCATTGCACTTTTTGAATGAATGAACTTAGTCACATGTTCCCGTTAGGGTTACAGTTATATCATATTCAGATATCGTTGCGGTAATATCATATTCAGATTTCTGACACAACACTGAATTGGTGAATTTTTTCACTCCCTCATCTCCAGTTGGCCCTCCTTCGCTGTCTAATGCGACGCGAATGAAAGCTTATTAGCTCCTCGAGTCTTCTACAGCTACATACAAGACCAAGACGATCCGCCTCCATAGCTCACATGGACCAGTCACTTCATCCTGAAGGGCGATAGAGAAACTTCTCCATAACGTCCACTTACCAAAAGATCCCTTCGAGCAGCCATTTCAGTTCTCCCTGCCAAAACCGGAACACCATCTTCACTAATGAACATTCGTTTAGTATCCGGTTACAAAAAAACAATGTTCGGCAATCTGAAGAGTATTTCTCAGAATTGTGGTTTGGTGCTTCTGTATGGTAGAGTCCTCTAGGAAAATTGGAACCAAACCCGCTTCGGTAGAACGCACTCAACGGCACGTTACACGATAATATGTTTGGTTGATCCAAAAATGAAAGTTCAGATGCGAAATGGACCTCGAGTGAGGAAAAAGAAAAGGAAAAGTTGAAAACACTGGGACAATACTTTGGACTTTTGTGAGTCTTCGACAAAGGCTCGCTGGGCATTGAGGAGAAGGAGCACAAGCAGGAACATAGATGTGTCCAGGACGCAGACAGTAAACCACATTTATTTATTTATTTATTGGTCAA